TACCTGCTTTAGTCCTGCTGTAGACCTGTTTTAGACTTGTTTCAGTTCTGCTTTAGACGTATCTTAGTCCTGCTGTAGACCTGTTTTAGTCCTACTTTAGTCCTACTTTAGACCTGATTTACAGTGACCAAATATTCTGTTGTCTTTTCGTTGTAGATGGGGCTTCACAGTGACCTTCTTTCCACTTCCGAGACAGGGCGCCAATACCAAGAAGAGAGTCAATGGACTATAGGAGATCATACCAGTATGACTCTCGCTCACCTGAGCGCTATGCCAACTACAGAGACTCTCGTTATTCTACCAGAGAATATAGAGAACAGTCACACCCTGCTGACTATTCCCCTGAACGCCGACACAGCTCCCCTCCAACACGACGTGAGTCTCGACGTCAAGCTGTGAGCCCACCAGGGGGACAGGAGCGGACCTACCGGGGGCCCACTCCTACTATTCCAGACTTCTGCCGTCCAAACCCTCAGGAGTTTGCCAGACTCCGCATTGCCCTGGACAATCTCCTCCCTAGAGATGCCACTGAGCGTTTCAAGTTCCAGATTCTGGTGGACCATCTGAAACTGGAAGAGGCGTTGTTAGTTGCTGATTCCTACTGCAACTCAGACTACCCCTTCACAGACACTATGGCAGCTTTAAACCAGCAGTATGGGCAACCACACCAACTAGCACTCCAGCGTATCGCTGAACTTATGGATGGGCCCAACATCCAAAGTGGGGACATCAAGTCCTTCAGACTGTTTGCTTTGAATGTTAGATCCCTGGTGAGCATGTTGGAGCAGCTAGGCCTCAAGGGATAAGTTGAGCTAGACTGTGGTTCTCATGTCACTCGTTTGCTGGGCAAACTGCCACACGATCTGAGATCCAGTTTCAGGCGCTACATCCACCCGCTGCGCATACCAATCCCTACTCTCCTGGATCTAGCAGACTGGTTAGAGTACGAGCTCCAGATCCAGGAGGACATTGCTCAGTATCGCACCAGAAAGGACACTAATGCTAAACCCAGGGACTCTAGAAGGTCTCTCAAGCCCATTCCTAAAGCGTCAGTCCTCATGCTGGGGACTGACACCAAACCAGTGGGGGAGTCAGTCAAAGCTCCTCCTCCCGGCCTGGTGAAGAAGTTCTGCCCATTCTGTGACAACAACAAGCACTCACTGAATAACTGTGCAAACTTCAAGTTCCTCAGCCCTGCCCAGAAACGCTCCTGGATCCAGGACAACAACCGATGCTGGCGGTGCGGCAGAGAACACAGATCAGATCTTCGGAGTGTGATCTGAAGATGGTCTGCAAAACGTGCAACAGCAGGCACCTCCAGTCCCTGCATGAGGTCAGTGATAGAGGCGCAGTCAAATCTGACAAAGCAGAAAGAAGGCAAGACCCAGTCAAAGCCAGTAGCAGTAAACCAGTGCCCACACAGACAGCAGAGGAGGTGTTGTATATTGGCAAGCCACCCCAGGGCAGCCGGGTCCTTCTCAAAATTAGCAAATTGATCCTGCGTAATGGTGACCAAGCCCTGGAAACCTACGCTGTGCTTGACGACGGTTCCGAACGCACTTTGCTCCTCCACACAGCAGCACAGCAGCTGGGACTTCAAGGCATACCTGAAGACCTGCCCCTACGCACAGTCAGACAGGAGCTGCAGGTGCTTCACGGGGCGGCTGTCACATTCACCATCTCTCCAGCCAGCTCCCCAGCAATGGTTTACAACATCCAGGGAGCCTTCACTGCCCCCAAGCTTGGGTTAGGCCAGTGCTTCTCAATTATTTTCTGTCATGCCCCCCCTAGGACGAATAAAACATCTCGCGCCCCCCCGCGTGACTATAGATAGTATCATTTGTCTATAAAATTGTTATAAGTACACCTCTGCGTAACACTGCCACCTTATATGATGCCAACAACGCTCGCTGGTTTACTGAAGTAGCAGTCACAAGCGGGATGATTGTCGGCAATATTCGGCACGTTTTCGCTGAAAAAACTCAAGCGGCTTATCAGAGTGATCGGGGTGTAATGTATTTAAGTGACGCCTTAATTTAT